AAAAATGTACGAAATACACATAATATTACGTAACAATATAAAAATACTTATATGAGATATGAAAAACGTACTCTACTCGTTACAGTACTTAGTAGGTAAAATTTTCCAAGTTACATTTTTTAAATTATTTTTATAAATATATAAGGTTGCATAAGTATCCGCCGTCTAATTATATGTGTTATGAATTTGGAATTTTAAAACGTCACTAGCACTGTGTCGTGACTTGTTTAAAGTTAAAAAAATGGTCATTTCGAAATGAAAATATGTACATATATTAAGAGATTTAAAATTGCTTTGTTTTTAACATCGTCAAATAATTTTACCATTATTTAGCACAAATAACCAGATGAAATTGATTGCTAAACTTTCTAAAAAATATCTTCTTTTTTGCAATCGCATTGCATCTTATGAACTAATGATATACATACATACATGCGTTTCTATACTTTTTCTATTCTATTCTAATATATCTATTCTAACGTACTACGTATATCTACTTTTTGGAAAGTTGGCTGGACTTGACTTGGAGCAGATTGCCTCTCTACAAACTTGACTCAATGGATAGTTAGCTACAGAATTTGATTTACTGTCAGATTTTGTGCAAGTTAAACTTGGCAGAGACTAATATCAAAGTGTACTGTAAACTAATATGGTAAACTTAGAAGCTAATCTCTTTTAAATCCTTTGTACACCTATATATCTTTATAAATAGAAAATTATAAAAAAGAAGAAGTAATAAATGATTATTTCGTTTGAAGTTTTTTTTTCATGCCTCTGCTTTGGGTCATTTATAATTTTCATGTTATATCATTGAATTGTTTCTTCGCGAATATCATTAACTTTCAACGAGAACAATGATCTATCTGATTTCCTGTTAATGATACATACAATACTTCTCCTCTACTTCTCTTTTCATTACAAGTAGACATAATCTTTGCGAAAATATTTTCAACAAAAACAAGTAATGCGTATAATCTCGTGCTACTCGTTTTCTTCTTTTACGTTTGATTAAAAACTCAAACGACTGTTTCGTTTTAAGCGACATCGACAATTAGACTACTATTTTGCCCCAAAGTACCGCACATATGTTATCAAATATCTTGTACAGCAATGTATAAATTACATATGCATTTCATAATTAAATTCACGCAAACCACAAATTATCAAAACTCTCCGTTTATTGGGAAACCTACCGACAGAATCCCCAGAGACAATCCTAAAAATATTCCAATATTTACCACTGTGAAGGCATCAAAGGCTTCTATCGAAGAAGCCAACTCTAAACTATATTACAATCGACTGTTCTTCAATTTCCTGAGGATCGTGGCAGAACCAAGAAAACAAAAAAAAAAAAGAAAAAAAAGAAAAAACAAAAAGAAAAGGAAAAAGAAAAAGAGAATCTCCACCCTTCCTTCCCTAGAGGAAAAAGCAACGAAAAGGGACCTTCAACAAGTCGCGAAGAACCGGTGGAGTGGTCCCGGAAAAGGAAACACTCGACTCGCGAGTATTTTGTTAATTAACATCGAAGCGACGACAGGGTTGGAAAGCAACGTCGAACGAGAGGCAGAAATCCAACGTTAGGGATGGGATCCAAGGGAGAGGATCCAACGGACTAATCCACTTGGCCGATGGAAAAGCGAGCAAGGGAAAAGCCGGACCAGCAATTTACCGTATTCACCGTGTATAACGTAATAGCTTGGCCTGACTCCAATAAATGAATACGAGCGAAGCTACGCGCGAGCAAAACACGCGATAGAATAAAAAGCGAAACGTTATTTCTACGCGTCGGTCGATGAAAGTCTCGTCTCCACCGTACCGTTCTTTTCTATTCTTTTCATCCTTCTCTATTCTTTTATTCTCATAATACCCTAACACGGGATACTGTAGTTCATTTCGTCACCATAGAAGGATGCGTTACGCGATACAGATAAATTTTAGTATCTTTCGATGGGAGGTAGCTTTCTCGTTTGGACATTTTCTGGCTTCGGGTATTCGCGCAATTTATCGCCACCGGAGATGTACGGCGTAAAAACAGATCATTGCTGCAAGGGTTTTTGTTCGATAGTATAAACAAACGATATATAGTCTACACGGGGAAACTGAAAGTTGCATGATGGGAATATTTTTTGCCGGTGTTTGAGGTTTTGTTCCATTTCGTGAATGGAGATGGTGATTTCAGGTTAGTTGTAGGATGTGGATGTTATACTAAAGTAAGTAGCCAATCTTTTGAGTGCTCACTAAAGTAACCAAATACAGCCGAAAAAGATCTTTACCCTTTTCATAATTGGAACTCCGACATTTGTATTTCACGTATATTGAAGGTGATGGTAACGATTTTACGTTAGTTACGCGATATGGATGTTATACCGAATAAACAATTGATTCTTTGAGTGCTCCTCTAAGGTAACCAAATGTAATCGAAGAAAACTTTCTAATTTTGTCTTTTTATAATTTCCACTCCAATGTATCTATTTCATATACATGGAAGATGTTGGTGGTGGTGGTGGTTTTAGGTTAATTATGATGGTTAAATATAGATAATTAAAGTAACCAAATATAGTGAAAGAAAATGTTTTTTTTTAACTCCCTTACCCTGAAAACCTTCTTTCTATAATTTCCACAAATAGGTCGACAAAATTGTAAAATTCACCCCGTGAAGTATTATATAACTAAAGCAACAGAAAACGGTAGAATTTTCGCGAGTCGAATACGTAATCAGAAATCGATAAATAATATTCAAAGGTGTGAAATGGAAGGTTTTAGGGAAAATTAGACGCCATTATCGAAGGAACTGGAATTTGCCCGACGAAAGAATTGTTGCGGCATTTTCGTTGAACACGTTTCACCGCTACTCGCTCGTCGAATAGATCAGAACGCAGCGCATCAGGAATTTCAAATGGTTCGCGGTGAGAAATTCATCTTGCGCAATCTGTTAGAGATGATGAGTTCTAGATGGAGGATTTTCGATACCAGTCAGCTTCCATTTGGACTAGTTCAGGTAGACGATTAGAAGGTAGTCTATCAAATATGAACCATCCTAATTGTCGTATTGTAGATTCAGTTCAGAAGATCATCCTGAACGTTCAGTTTATTCTGTCCTATAATACTATTCTACTATCTGGAAATTATATCTAGATTAGGATTCTGCCCTCTTGTTGCGTATCAAACGATCCCAGATGAAAATCTAATTGTTCGATGAGACTTAATTTAGATTAGATTATTACGTTTTTCTATTCTGTAATTTTTCTGTCTCATTTCTGGATCGTAAATTCTTCGTCTTTCTTTCATTCTGTAATCTTGTAACATACGCTTCACCAAAATACCTATTTTTATTCTGTCGAATTGTGACTCCATACACAACATTTACATCCAAGTTCGTATCGTATCGTTTTTGCATTTTTAGCGAACAATTTTATTAGATTTTACATTTTTATATAATTTATAAGATATTAAAATCTACTTTTTAATATTTTATCCTATCCGAGGTTTCGTTACCTATACACGTATTGTTATTCTTGACAGAATAAAATAAAATTTTGCTTAATGTGTATGGTACTTAATTTCTACGAAAAATCTTGATTTCTTAAAACAGATGTCGATCAAGAAGAGCTTCGAAGCTGTCGTTCTATGCAAAGGTAGCACGGAAAGATATGACAAATCCAATTTTATCGATTTCCTGACTCTTATGTCACTTGATAGCTAACACGAAATATTTTAATACAAAGTAGTTGGAAAAGGATATAATTTGACACTTTCGAAGATGTAAGACTTTCGAAACGAATAACATTGTGTCAGTTTATCTCGGTTAGACTAGTCTATGTATTCTAATCTGTTCATATATATTTTAAACGTTCAAGAGAATGACATAAACACGTACATATTTATTTCTCAAAATCGAGCGGAAAGACAGCTTTAATATGCAATTGGTTGACGATATATTGAATTTTAATATTGCTCTTCTATAAAAGACGAGAAATGACTTATCATAGTTTCAAAATCATTATAATCATACAACAGATTTATATATATATACATACATCTTCAAAGTTTTCATCATATGATCTCATCATCCAAAACAAATACACGAAATGTAGAATTCGTGGCATTATCAGACTCTGCAGCATCCAACTCGCGTGTTTCTCACGGCAAATGGAACGAATATTAATATTTCAGAAACTGTTGTCCAATTTGCGGACTAGCGTTACGGAAGCACGCGAAATACGCCTGGAAGATTTGTTTAAAAATGTAAACGAGCTTTGCATACCAAAACGTTACGATTAGCGCGCGATAGAATTTTCTAGGGAACTACGTGTTGCATTAGAAAAGATATTGCCGTAAATGATCGTGCAGAAAATGCGACCTAAATCTTCCCCTAAATGATCTATGCTCGTTCTGAACGAAATGACACACGTTGAACAGTTGAACAAATGATGGATGGTGAATTTAATGCGTTAAAATGATTAGATCAATGTCCGATAGATATTAAACAAGTGACTCAATGTCTGTCTTTTGTCTTCTATTGCAGTGTTCATTTTTACGAGCATATTTTATATTTGTCGCGTTGAGAGAGATCTTAAAATTTTTATTTAAGTTTAATTTAAAATAGAATAAGTTTTAATTTAAAATAATTTTAAAAACACGTTTTATCTCTCTAGAAGAACGATTGTAAGATAATTTTTGTATTATAATATTCTTTAATATCCTAATTAGAATAATAAATGAAACAGAAATACAAGAAATTAATCGATTTAGATTTTGAATAGACTAAGTTTCGAAAAACATTGTGCAAGAAAATTTCACGAATATGGGAGTTAAATTGAAAAAGTGACACTGAAAGTTTGTATAACAGAATAGTATTATAATTTTATTCATTTAAGAATTCCTCATTTCTGACGCCTTTTAAGAATGTTTTCGTTAAAGATATATTCGGAAATATTTCTGATTAATAAGATCTACGAGTCGTAAACACATTAACACTGTTGTTTTACAACAATTTGTACAATCTTCACTTATTGCGAATATGCAAGAGACATGTAAAAATCAAGTGAAATCGATTTCTATTTTAATCTGAACTTCCTTCGCCAATTATTCCAAGCATCGCACGTTCCACAATTCTTTTATCTCTTGTGTGAGAGCAGAACTCCCTAAACAACCTCGATCTTACCATCGTAAGAAGGTCATTAAATTAGATTCACCTCGATAACGAAAACTCTCCGATCCATTCACGAAATCGGATTCGACGAAAGTTTCGTAGCACGAAGTTCCTTTAGTACTTTTCGACTCTGCACGAGTCTCACACGTAATCGTTCGTAATCGTTTCCCGGCCGAACTCGAAGGGACGTGTGTTGACCAGGCGGAACTTCGTTGCTGTTGTACCGTTTTCCATCTCCGCCGTCTCTCTGGAGACTTTTCCTCTAATAGCATCGGCTACTACTATTAGTCAATCACTACATTTCCAAGATAGAAAACTTTTATGTTATATCAAACTCTATGTTTTACATAATATAAAACATATATTATTTTATATGTTTTATATAACAAAACATTTTGAAATTTCATTAGCATCGCATGAAACCGAGACTGTTACGGTTATATCGATCAAATTTGAAAGCAATCTGAAAATGTATATAGAAGTTACGAAATATTCATTGCAAACACATACCTGGTAATTAATTAACGATATAAATGGCCATAATTAGGAACATAATAAATGTTAAGTACGATCGCACTGAAAGTTAAGGTTTATTAACATAATGACTGATGTTTATTGAAGTAATTGATCGTTTAAATACTTCTCGCTGCGAAATATCTATGCGTATACATGTGTGAAATATCCTGCAATTTCCAGACTAGTTGCAAACTGTGATAATATAATCGTGATGCCTCATACAACACGTTTGACATATTCACAAAAGATTTCTAGAAGCGATCGAATATTATTGTGAGCACTTGTGTGCTTCTGATACTCTGTGAGACGAGTAATTGTAACGGCGAGATATTAACATGTATGCAATTGGTAATTTCACCGAAATCTTAGAACATAAAACACGAGACTGTGTTTGAACTAAAGCGACGAATAAATTCCGACAAATATCATTAGTCATTCCGTTAGTACATTCGTAATGCAACAAAACATGATTTAAACATGTCTGGATAACCACTTAATGGTTAGGAAGATGAGTTTTCTTGCGAGATCAAAAACGTTCCCACGACAGCGTTTGGAAAGCTGCCAAAAGGTTTTCAAAAGCTGTAAATTTCTTCGCGTCTAATGCATCTCTGACATAGAAATTCACGTCTAAAAACAATCGTCGGTATTTCAACTACCAAATATATTTTAGTCTTCGCGTGTACTTTCTAGAATAATAGCAATGTTTTTGAAGTCATCGATGAGGTCACGAAATTGATCATTAGGCTAGTTCGACTATTTACTCATTGATTATTTCTAATAGCAAAATTATTTCTCTCAATTATTTTCCTACATATATATATATGTATAGTATCAGCCATAAGCTGACAGAATATAGCGAGGAAACTAATTAATCTAGATCTGAATACAAAGTTTACAAATGAAATGAATTAATTGCCTATACATATTCTTGCACTTGTATTAAAATTCTCTCATTTAAATCATCGTATTAGATAGTAATTTTGCTTTTCATTGTAGATTTGCAACAGATTATTCCTAAACACATATAATACGATGCCGACCATAATCATTAGGCTGTGACGTTAACTTAAATCGTATACCTTCCACTGCTTTCGCTTCTCAATTATTTTAGTATTAATTTTTATTCATATTGCCTTACGATGTAAAATACTAAACGAAGAAAAATTTGTTAGAATTTTGCTACAACTGTAACGAGTAAATAGGTAATCCTAATGCTTACCAATAGCCAGCAGTATGTACGTGTGTGTGTGTGCATTTTAATGTACCTTAGAACGAACTAATGTTACAATTTAAAAATTTTTAAAATTTAAAATTTAAAAATTTAAAAATCGTTTTAGCATATCCTACTATATTCGTCATCCCTTAAATCGACAAGAATATTCGACGTTGAAGGGGCTTTGCACTCGTAAAAATCACTTTTTCAAAACTAATCCACCATCGTAAAAGTCCATAATGTCCTCCTGAGCGAGCGTGCTAGAGGTTTATCTCGAGTACAAGATCGCGTGGCACAGCTCCCAGGAAACCAATAGCAAACGTTAAACGGGATGGGTTACAACCCTCGTTCGAGCCGAATCGTGATCAAATACATCTCGAGCAAAGGCGCCCGTTCAAAGGGGCGATTTCGCTCGCCGTAACCTCCGTGGAATCTCTGCGGTTAACGAGCCCGGAAACCGATGACACGAACATCCCCACGGAAGACGCGTTAATTAATCGATGTAATTGAATATTGTTCGCCGCAATCCCCTAACGTGTTCCACAGACGTTTTACACTTATCGTGTAAACCTGATTGCACACGTGACCGGTGAGTTTGTTTGTCGTTGATAAAGAAGAAAGGAGAGAGAAACGAGAAAAAGGAACGGGATGGTATACGGATAAATAAAAAGTCGATTGAAGAAAGGGAGAACATTTAATTGGACTAATTGATGTTATGTAATTTTCTATTGTATTATTTAATACTGTAATATTATATTAGTATCATAACAAAGATTGGGAAGAAAAGAAACTTAAAGGGTAAAAAGGAAAGGGAAGAGAAGGAAGCAAAGGAAGATTTCCTCCATATTTCATATACTAATATTATAATAAAACTTGGAAGGGAATAAAACTTGGGAGGGAAAAGTTTAAGGGGGAAACGGGCGGAAAGCAAAGAATGCAAAAGGAAATCTTCTGCATATTTCGTATGTTAATATTACGATAAGAATTGGGGGGAGGGGGGCCAAATTCAATGATGAAAAGGGAGGAGACTACTTCTAATTATTAGTTTGTCATCAATTTGTACACTTTGGTAATATTCCTATACCGTTACTGTACATCGACCAAAATATTAGGTTGTCCGAAAAGTTTCTTTCGTTTTATGAGGAAATAATAGACGCACAACGTTTTCAGTTTTATATTATTTTGTTCTGTTGAGATAAACACCGTGACATTTCACAGATGTGGTTTCACGTGTTGTAAAAAACACGTTTGCGAAAGAAAGACCATTTCGAACAACCTAATACATGCTACAATACTTGAGGATGCAGCAGTAGCAAGCAGAGAAGTTTCCAAGACAACGAAAATTAGCGAGATCCGTTCGATTTCACTCGAAAGTAGGAAATCCACGAGGCGTAATCCACGGCGATTATCAAAGTCAATTAGCGCCAACGGCAAGAGTCCATCAATAAGCGAGAAAGAATCGGGCCGTGTAATCCTTGACACCGTGCACCAGCTTAATGGTTTAATTTATAACCCTAACTATTCACCAGAAATTTCCACCCCTTCGCTGTGAAACATCCCAAGAGCGATATTTTAACGTGAGGACGCGATTCACCGCAAGAAATCTTCCCCTTTTTCGTGCTAAAGATTAAAAAGAGAAGGAGAAATATACGTCTTCTTGAATCATTGTCTTTGACGTGAATTTATCGGCGAGGCTGAATGGTGAATTCACTTTTCAGCAAGCTAGGTTTTGGTGTTTAAAATCTGCGAGCTTCGTTTGCATCGAATGGAAATTAAAGGCGTTACATATTCATGCCCTGTTCGCTGCTTCTCTTGTAAATACGCACCCTCTTTCGCTGTACTTTGTACGTGATTTTTTTTCTCTTCCGGTTCCTCCTTTTTCTCTTTGTTTGTTGGCTTTTAGTAGATTTCTTTTAGAAAGTAGAATAGCAGGGGTAGATAGACGTTTCGCGGTTCTTGCTTCTAATTGGCAGTACTGGCGAGCTTTTTGAATGTAGATTGCGAAATTGTATTCTGTTTTTCTGCTTTTGCTTATTTCTTCACTTAAGTCAATTCGTTTCGTTTGGCAAAGTTATGATTATTTTATGGAATAGATAAAGAAGAAGACTAAAGCGAGAAGAATTTACAAAGAGCTTTCAGTTATGATTCTTCTACATTATACTTATAGTTCTGTATACTTATATGATGTTCTGCACGAGAATATTCCGTAATTTTGAGTTATAATAGAATGTATGAAAAGCATCGTTATTGCTTTCAAGGGTTTATATGAAAACACTGAAATTTTAGTACTGTGTAATTGATTAATCTATTTTATGTAACTATATCGATCATAATCGATTAATTTATTTCACATGTAGATATGCATGGCTAGTCTATGGTAAATCATATTGTAGCTAGAGAAAATAATTTTGGCAAACTGAAGAATCCAAAGGAATCTAATAGATGTTGACTCACAATCCAGATCTAATATATCAACAAGCGATGATTAAATAATTTTCTGCTAAAGATAAAGAATTCCAACAAGAAAAAAAGGAAAAAAATGCAACTATAACGAAAACACTGAAGTTCCAGCAATTCGAAAGTTTTGAGAACTGGTCCCTAATCCTATTTGGTGGAACCAGAAAGTGAGGCTAGATCGTTTTAGGTCCATCGTATGTAAGTTCCAAGCACAATGCACGTACCAGTTGGAAAAGGCAATATTATTCCGTGAGAAACGTCGCGGTAACAAAATACCGACCCATTCGACTGAAAAACCAATTCGTACTCCGTTTCTACACATGGTCCACAGTCAGTTGTGTTTTATCTTGGACGTTGGAAAATGCTTCATTCCAAGATAGCCGCGTGTACGGCGAAAGAAAGAAAAATAGCAATTGCCTGGTGTCCACCTTTCCTATCCAGCGATTCCGGAATCTGATCTCGCGCTACAATGCGCTTTAAGCTCGTTTCAAAAGCTTAACAGCTAGCTTCATAATTCTTCTCTTTTGATAACCACAACCGACGTTCAAGAGTTTCCAGTCGGATAAAATTTCGTGTAACTGGTTTAAAAAAGTGGCTGAATGTATATTATATTTAAGGATTCTTTATATCTGAATTCAGAGATAGAATTATACAAATATTCTAAATGAGCGTGATAAATAAATAAATATTCAGCGTGATAAAATCATGCATTTCTTCCAATAAAAAAGAATACTATTGTAGTATCGGGGGAAAACCCTGGGTAATTAAGAAGGTCTATTTGACCATGGAACATGTGCGTACCAGGTATACAGTGTAGTATCGGGGAAAAACCCTGGGTAATTAAGAAGATCAACTTGACATGGGACATGTGCGGGTCAGGTATGCCGGAGCCAGGGTATAAAAGGCAGCCGTGAATGAATTGGGAAGCTTTAGTGTTGGCAGTGTGGTAGGAGAATGTTTGCATTGGGAGTGGTGTTGTTAGCGTTGTCGAGTGTGGTCGGCGTGAAAGAGAGCAGTTGTGACGAGAGAAATTAGTGACAAACGATGACTGCGTGCATATAAACTGACGAAGCATCATACTTGATTTTGTGTTGGCGTGAACGATATTGAAATAAATCTGAGGTGTAAAAGTATTGTCCGTAATAATTGTAGCTGCTAGCTGTAGGATGTCGCTGATAGGGTACTGCTGATTTTCTTCCGTTTTTGATGCGTAGAAGAAAAATCGGACTCCGGTCGCCGGGATTTGAACCCGGGTCCCGAAGGTTCGTAACCTAAGATGCTAACTACTGCGCTGCTGTCGTCTGACATTAGTGTCGAGTGGTGGTATTTGCTGTTGAGAGCCGCCACAAGTCATACCGTTAGCAAACCTATTAGCACCCTAATTAGTTTTTCCCACACTACTGCTAATGTGACTCTTGTGACGAAGGTAAAGTATCAAATTTAACGCGATCCAGTCGTCGCTTCCTGTACAAGATACGAGGATCATTTCTGAGGAAACTGCCCTACATAAAAGATGTATGCTCATAAAAAGCGACATTATATATCCTTCCGGGTCTCCTTAGCAAGCGAGGAAGAAAGAAATCTGAGATTAAGTCTCTGTATAAGTTAGTTACGCGATCTCCATCGAATTCAAATCTTTCACAGTCTTAGTGGATTTCGAGTCATCAATGCTCGATTATATTATACATTTAAATTTCAACGATGTTGGCTGTCGAGCCGCTCGCAAAGACGTCAGGCATCCTCCTGATAGATCTCATAAGGATCGTCTGGTAATGCACTATCAACGATAATCAATCGATAAACGAATTTCCAACCTAGCTAACGAGCGTATTTTACTTAACGAATAGGTGTAGATAGCGAACTAAGAACCCTGAGCCACGTGGCATCAAAATGATTAATTAATGGAACGTGATGGATTAATGAAACATGTCAGAGGCACTTTTGTTCTTCACTCATTACAGGAAATATTGAATTATGGGAAATTAGTTGTCTTCGGTATCGGGGAGATCCGATAATTAAGGATTTAGGTAATTCTTCGTTAGTAATGAATTGTTTTCTGATTAAAGGGAGGATTAATAATTAAAGATTAAAAGAAGATTAAACGTTATTTTTGTTTCATGATAAGGACAATAACAATTGCTCACTTTTAGGAGCTAATCATTGAAGAAGTTATTTAACGGATATGTGGTGTAACTGTGTGTTTTTCAAAAAGGAAATATTGTACCATTAATCTCATATGGATTAAAAAATACCTTTTCTTCTATTTATTAAAAAATCTCATAGCTTGAATTTGATAAAATTGTTAACCAGGTATCAAATATAATACCATTCTTTAGAGTGTTTATGAATACAAGAAAATGGTACCAGCGCGGAAATTTCAAATCCGATTACGCTATTTAATTGCATCAGGCTAATTATCATTGTCTTAACAATGTTGCTTTTGTAATTCAAGAGCAACACGCGCGTGGATTAATCGTGCGAGTATATCAGTTACGTGTTGCAATAACTCTCCAGTAAAATGTTCCACGGGTGGCGTTCTGCTGAGTAATTACGTGCGGTCCAACTCTATTGTTCTCCTTTTCATGCTTTCTTTCTCTCTATTCATTGGTGGTATGAATTTGTTTTATTTACAGCGGAACGTTAAATATCGAGTTATAATTAAAGAACGTAATTAAGCAATCCGCGTGTTATAAATATTCGTCTGGTCAAATAAAAGTGGTAAGTACAAATTTGTAGACTAGAAGATGATACGTTGAAATTAGGATTTATTTCTGTAAATTTTTAAATCATTATCTATATGCGTGTATCTGAAATGAAATTTTCTTCTATCGAGTAAACTATACGAAAAATAGTAAATCAGAAGACTTTCGAGATGAGAATGAAATATCAGCTAATTTAATTAGTATGAAGAATTTCGATGTAAAATTAGTACAAGTCGATATTTAAATTGCAATATTTAATCGTTATAGATAATATTTAATATAAAATGTTATTTTCCAAATATGCATTAAATCAATTTATACAAAAATGAAATGAAGAAATTTGCTCGTTTTAATATATCTGAGTGTCAAACTAAAATGGACAATATGAATTTATAAATTAGAGAATACTACAGCACGTAGAAATTATTTTCTTATTGTAATATATTTTATATATCTCTGTAGATAAACAATTTTATATCTTAAACACTATTCGCTACCATTAACGAGAAACAGTAAAAAATGATATATTTCTTTCTTCTTGCGGACTATTTTCCAAAGAAAGAATGAAAATGTTAATTTGCAACGATGCAGAGACGTGAAAACATAAGTGTACCTTTATACGGCACAATTTGGGAGGAAGCGTGTGCTTCCGGTCGAATTAACCAAAGGCAAGAATCAATGACATTTATATACCTATGGTTCCTCTAGTTAATTATACACGTACGCAGGTCAATTAGTTGGGACAATGTATATTTAATTGAATTAGGATGCTGGAAGCGTTAACATGATGTTGACTAATTAACTGAAACAAAGTAACGCGACCTTAATTGTTCAAAGAGAATTACTCTAATTATTAGACATACTAGCAAATCACGTTGTCCTATTTCGATATCATCTTTCCGAATGTTCGAAAAATATACATGTAGAATGATATAATTATTATTTTGCTAAATCGAATCTTTCATAACATAATTAACTTGTCGACTACACAGAGTCACTATAATAGCAATTTATGAATTCTTTTCTGTGTACGAATGATTATTATGTATTATGAATTTACATGGAGAAGAATTAAAATATATTAGTTTATACCAGTGTATTTTATTACTATAGTTTACTAATACGTGAAGTATTTAATTTTTTACTCAATAAGATCATTCTTGCATCCAAGAATACAAGCTTTCAATAACCAGACTTAATAAAATTTAATTAATTTTGATAAAAAATATCCAACACATGAATAATATATTAAGTATAATTTATATATGACTGCAATAATAAAATGAACTAATTAAATGTTGTCATCCATTTTGCAGAGTAAATAACACAGTCATGATAGCACTTTTTGACCACTTTCACCATAGTGCAATGGTTAAGACGCGCTTTGATTGCCAACATTTCAATGTGCCGATACGAATTTAGCTATGCCCGATAGCGGAACGCGTTTCGATAAATCCATCAACGAGCTTTTATCCGTGGGATCTCTGCCTGCCCGGCAATCCTCGTAAAGCACACTGCGTATTCAATGCGAAAACGCTCTCGCGCGAATAGAACGAAACGAATTTCGAAAATCGTTTTAAACGTGACACTATAGGACAAACAAAAAGTCGACCAGCGAAATCTCTGTACTCGATAATAGAAGAAAAACAGATCACAAAACAATGACTCAGCAGTCTGAATAAATTTTTGAAAGTATGCAGAAATATATAAGATATAAAACTGTACACGATATCTGAAACGATCTACGATGAGATTGCACAGAGATGAACATTTTGATTATTACTTGGTGAAAATGATTAGATATTCAGATTATCAGTACATTCTGTTTCTATGCGTTTCAGCAAAATCATTTAGGAAAGCAAAACGTGCAGTGGGCAATGTGTTCGTGCAAATCATATTCATTTATTGTATATATATGTCGTATGTATGATCATTAATTTTATTATTAAAATAAAGCTACTTTCTATTTAAAAATTGTTAATTCCATATGTGAACACATAGTAACATTTTTTAGTAATAAATGTATTAAACGATGTAAATTTCCGAGTGGAATTTTCTGGTTTCTGTTGCTAAGGATACAAGGAGCTAACTTTTAGCACACGACTGAATTTTTACGATATCGGCGCGAATAATAATCCCGAATTTCTCAGTATCTTTACACAGAATTGCTTTTGGAAATTATCACGTGGCGAAGCGTAGCTCCACTTTCGGTTACTGATAACTGAAAACGTTGAAATAATTAACAAACCCGATATCCAATATCTGTGGTAATATTCGCACACCCTCTTGCGGTTAAAACGCGGGTCACGGTTAAACAAGTTTCCGAATTTGAAATGGAATTTCCGTTAATTCTTAATTTTTGGTCATTTAATCTTCCGACATTTAATATTTGCAAAACGACCGCTTCATCTAGTAAACGTATTCCATGTTGAAAATTTCAAATATTACAAATACTTATATAAATTGCGAAGAAACGATTTAATTTCCATACAGTTGCGTTTCTCGACATGACTTACTTTTATTACAGGCAAATGATCTACTCACAGTTGTGTAAACAGACATTTGCAATACGATAAGAGTGATGAAATTGTTTGTAAAATAATTATACATAAATAGAGCTAAAAAAAATCATTTGGAACGTCAGAAAATACAATATTTTGCAACATTGTTAAGAATCGCTACTGGTTTGGAATTCTGTTGGCCTTCATATATTAACATTTTGCAATCTAAGTTGAAACTCTCTCTAACTGATTCACATTGGATAAATTGCTTCTAGAATTTGATAATTTAATTGTATTTTCGTATTTTAGTAACCGAAAGCAAATACACAGTTTCAATTAATCTAAGTTTTCATGCAAAATAGTTGCCTGTCTTATAAAATCATACCATAAATTATTTGATAATCGATGAATTTCTAGTTGACCTTTACCCTTATGCAAATACCAATACTGAATATCACAAACTGTCTGATAACAGCCAGATGAACTCCTAATTAATTTCCAACTATATTTAAATGCCAATATTGAATCCAATTTGGGGTTTCTGTTAATGTGTAAGTATTAGAGAAATTATAAAGATCGACGTGAAGGACTTAAGAAAATTGAAGCAGCTTCCTATTCTAAAA